AAGTATTAGAAATCTGAAAGCATTGGGAAGAGAGAAACTCATTGTTGGCTTAACGTCCTGTCAGTTAACTGTCCATGTCGGCAAAATGTTCTGTTGGCTAAGCGTCCTGTCGGCTAAGTGTCCCTGTCAGCTAACGTCCTTATTGGCTAATGTCCTTATTGGCTAAGTGTCCCCGTTGGCTAATGGTCGGTTAAGTGGTTGTTGGCTAAGTGACTGCGACTGACTGTAAACACTGTTCCTTTGCGTTTAACACTCCCAAAATTAGTATCGCAATTATCTCCATAAAATCCAATATATTCTTCTTTCCTGTATAATGAAATTTTATAACTGCCATTAAAGGGTCTGTCAGTACTTTTGCAGTTTCACCAGTTATTGACTGAAAGTCTAAAAATTTAACTTTTATGCCACAACGTGGTATAAAATATCATGCAACAACTTACACAATTTTATTTCCTTTCCTGTTAGAAGAACCTATTGTGTACTGAATTTTTATAATTGCCATTAAAGGATGCGCTGGTATTTTTTCAGTTTCACCAGTAATTAACTGAAAGTCTCAAAGTTTAACTTTTATGCACAATCTGATACAAAATATCACACAACTGGCACAGTTTTATTTCCTTTCCTGTGAGAAGAATCTATTGATACAGTTGTTGAGACATTAGGTATTTTTTAAAAGCAGGAGAGGTGAAAAATTAGCAATGCCCTTGCAAGGACTCGGACCTCTCGAATACGTGCCGAGTGTGCTGACCGCTACACCATAAAGGCATGCTAAGAGAGTGGGAGAAATATCTTATATACTCCACCTTTGAAAGGGCGACTGGGGATTAGGGGACCCAATCACCAAATCCTGATGGTGGAGAATCATCATCCATCACCTTTTTAGTTTGGGCGCCGCTGTAGACACATTACATTATTTCAAAGCAGGAGATGAGAAACATGAGCAATGCCCTCGCCGGGATTCGAACCTCTTGAATATGCGCTGAGCGTGCTGACCACTACACCACGAAGATATGCTAAGAAGGCACAAGAAATACTTTATACAGTCACAAAATTTGTTTTATTTAAATTTTCAATGGCAGTTTTACATTTTCTTCCGGCTTCAAAATCAATTTAGATTAACACTCTTGAAACCTTAGATTTTGAATTGCAACATGAAATGCAAATATTGCTAACAAGAACTGTCATTTAAATCAATACCTTTAAAATTTCATAATATATTTGAGAAAGTTCCTATCACTGGCACTAAGCTTGCTTTATGTTTTAACATTTCAAGTGATTTGTAATGCTCAAAGCCCCACCATGAACTACTAAAAATTCTGAAGACAGTTCACATTTCACTTTTTCAGTACAATCACCAACCTTTTTTTTTTTTTTTTTTTTTTTTTTTTTTTTTTTCAAAAGATGATAATCCTTTTTAAAAAAACACAATTTCTTCTTTGACATTTTGGATGTTAATGCACAGTACAAAACAAGTTCAAATGCCCACTCATAATTTGAACTAAACTAAGACATGAGCAAGAATAATGTGGCTGGTATAAGTTTCAGTGTTGTCAACGCGAATTGTAAAAATATCAAAAAATTAAATAAAAACACTTGGATTTCATAGGCTACATGCTATAATAAATTCTATGAAAAAGTATCTACATTCATTAAGCCACATGTTATATTTTTGAGGGAAAGCATCTAGACAGCATTAAAAGCACTTCAATACAGTGTCTGCGAAAACATCACAGAGAAAACTATACAAGGTGAAAACGCCGTCGTACAAAACATCGTGGAGCTGCATATTAGGCAACAAAACAGTAACTGACTGAAATAACTATTTGCAAGAGATCTGTACTTATAATGTTCAGTCAAAGCCATTTTTCTGAAGTGCAAAAACAAAGTAGGTCTAATTCCAATTGTTTATTAAATAAAAAAGCATCAGCTATTTCTTAAATCCACAAGAACAGTTGGTGCACCTATGGCAGGATCTCTGCAGACTTTCATGATTCAGTGGAGCCAACTTTCTTGTTCAATGGGATAACATATAAGTACCAAAGGATTCCTCCAAAAATGGTATAAAATAGTATGTGTTTTATTACGAATCTTGTACATAATTCTAAGAATGACATCTTTTTTAATATGGTGCTGCCTTCCATGCACAAGCTTGGGGAAAAAATTAGTCACCTATGAGTTCATACCTTTTCAGTATGGTGCTGGTAACTAGTTTTGAGTGAATTACACGTTCTGCCATACTAGGTGCTGGCACTACATGGCCAATCCACCTTCAGAACAATGCTCAAGGGTTCAACCCCTGTCCCCGCACCTGTCGTTTATTTGCTACCTACCAGTCGCTCGGGCTGCCTGTCGCAGAGGGACATTACCTAACAAATCCGGGATGCTACCACCCAGCTACTAAAGCCCAATCACTAGGACCTGCCAGACTCGCAGGCTGGCCAATGAGAGACCTTTCCAGGGCCTACAGAACACTAGGTTTGTAATTTGTATCCTACCCCTGTAGCCAAGACTGCCTAGGTACAGATCCTAGCCAGTAGCTTCACATAATTCTCTATGTCAACCCCCGGGAGAGTGAGGTATAGATAATCAGACATAACGAAAACACAATTTTAAAAGAGGCTTCATGAATAGCATTTGAAAAGGACCATGTGGAGACACATAGACATCCTTATAAGGACTGAAAAACATCTAAAACCATCACTATATAGTTTTTAAAGGGACATGAAGCTCTTATAGTTAAAAGCTTAATTACTAACAAATGCCAGCAAAAGTTTTTCAAACAGGCCTTAGGATTCCATGAGAAACTGCTACAGCATTCTATTAAAAAATATGATGGATAAAACAAATATCCATTAAAAAAAATACAACTTGAAAAAAAAAAAAAAAAAAAAAAAGAGCCCATTTCTTCATTCTGTATATGCTAGAATTTATAACAGAGATTGAATAATTCATTTACATTTTGTTTGCTAGAAATCTTTCGGCTTCACATTATGATGCACTCTATTATATTCACAGGATACAATTCAATTAACAATTTAATATATGTGTTTTAAAAACTTAAAATAATTATAATAGCAAAATAATAAATTCCAAAGAAGACAATCTCACCATACACACTTACTTTTTATTTCTTAAAACGACCATTAAAAAATCACTTTTTATTTTAAATAGAATAATGATTTCCAAACTTGTCCATATTATATCTCATTAGTATTACATATAGTTTTTATGATAAGACATAAACTAAACAACTAAAACAAAAAAAATTACAAAAGTTTTAAAAATAACTGAAGCTTCCCTTGTCCAAATTAACAATTTGCGTTACAAGAGTAAAACCAAGCACATAAAATACATCATAACAGTTAAACAGAATAAACAGACCCCAATGAAATTTGTACTTGTTAAACAAAATGAACACTAAATTTAATATTGTATATTAACACACTAAATTTAATATTGTATATTAAATTTAGTGTTTAGTACATCAGTAACTTAATCATCACATTAATTTATCATCAGATAGAAACTTTATTTTTGCTACAATCTTGCCAAGACTAAGAACTTACTTAAATAAAAATGTGACTGTGACCCCATTTCAAAAATCTTGAAAAATACTGTGCAGTAAGAATCTAAAATAATTTTAAGTAATTCTGAATATTCTTGTGAAATGCTTACATACATACATATACACCCATAGTTCCACATTATTTCATTAGCAAATCAATAACTTTTTAATTTATAAAAATGCATTTACATTACATCAGTTCATACAGTTACCTATATATTTGATTTCTCAACACTATTTTCTAAAAATTGCTGAGCTAAACTTACTTTTGGCAGAGAGATTATTTTCTGAAAACTACTGCATTTATATTTTACATTGTTAACAACTTAAAATTCAGTACAATCAGGAAAAGATTTTGATGCTGATAATGGTTTTCACTTAATACTTTAAGTAGTAGATTAGAACTTGCAATATGTATATCAACAGCTCAAGATTACAACACTCACAAATGAAGGCTAATTTTTGGTATATGGTAACAGGTAATTTGGCGACATTTTGGTAAGGCGATAAAGGTTACTAGCTAGGACTTTAGCAGCGTACATGGATAATGTCAAGAGTGCACGCAATGCCATTTTTGTGCAATTCTGGGATTTTTTTTTAAGTGAAAATAGGTCGACGTGTACATGGATGCCGTGTATGTGCAATTCTTAAAAACGCGGCAAGCAGTTTGCAATTCTGCACTTTTCCCCAATTTCGCACCCAATCTTCGTCATGATTAAGCACTTTTGTTCCATAAAAGTTCTAGCATAAGCGTAATTCGGTTAGCAGATTGTTGGAAGAAAATGTTGAGTATTAAAAAAAAAAATGCCTTTTATTTGTGAAAACAAAATGCCGTCCAAACACAAAAACTAGCAGGTTGCTGTAGCAGGGTTGGTCGCCAAATTTTCGCCAAAAAAACTCCAAGTTACCATAATCCAAAGATTAACCCAAATGAATATTAAACAATGTGCTAAATATACTTTGAAAATTTTATTTTATACCTACACCTTCTTTGAAATTATTATTATTTAAATTTAATTTGCATGTAACAATGAATTCCAATTACCTTAAAATCTGATAAAAGCTATATACTCATTTCTTTTCTCATGATGATGACAGGTGAAGTATATGATGAAAATAAATACTAACATCCTAAACTCATATTAATTCTAGGGCTTTTCTATGGTTGGTTTGGTTTGGCTTATTTGATGATGGCAAAGCACACAAGGGCCTATGGAGAAGGATACCTCTGTGGAGGACATTCTAAGGCACCTTACTCATAGGGAAAACCTTGAAAATACCAATGGAGCCAGCCCATTCACCTGAAATCAAGCCCAGGTCAAACTACCAGTGTTTAGCAACTTTTAACGCTTCGCATTGGTCAACCATGTTTAATGTGTACTAGATACTAAGGCCATATTTATCTATTTATATACAAAGTAATGATAACAATTACCTGCATATCTTTCACCATTCTGATCAACAAGAGAATATTTCATATAGAAAAGCACCGTTATGCTGGAAAAGAAAATTGAAAATTTGTTTACATGCTTCCCATGAACATCTGGGTGAATAATATTTAATTGGCAGTCATTTTCATGCAGTTTAGAATAGAAAAAACTTAAAAAGAATAAATAAGATATCTTAATTGCGTACTATATAAAATATATGCAATAATATTAACGATACATTATAATCCGAAATATACAGAACACGATTTGATAGTCGAAGCACAGAAATTCTATTTCGGATTGTTGCACAATGCCGAACTATGCAGGAAACAAGCAAATCAAATTAATACAGTATTTAATCATCTTGGCTTCATTTTTTACAAATATTTAAATTTTGTTCTTCACTTGCCTATTGGTTTTTTTTTTTTTTTTTTTTTTTTTTTTTTGTTTTTGTTTTTGAATCGTACGTTCTCTCATAAAAATGCGAACATACATAACAATTTTAAGGAGAAAAATCAAAATTCTGGTAAATTTCGTTTTTAAAATTTACTTCAATTTGTATTGACCTTTATAAAATTAAGATAAATACTTACCTACCAAACGAAAATCCTCGTTTCGACACAGAAACAAGCGCAGAAACATAAATAAAAATTAAACTGTCGCATAGAGATATCTTGTTGCCATTTATGTTAAAATAATAATGATTGTAAAACAGCAGAAATGGTATGAAAATTAAAATGCATATAACAGAGTTAAATCAATTGAGAAAAGATTAGTTAGAGGAGTATACCAGATCTGAAATCTGCTTTCATGTGAAACAAAATAAAAGCTGCAAGAAAATACATCATGTGTGTAAAGTACACGAAGCATTACAAATGGCTATATTTTCACAATGATAGTCTGGACACCGGTTGAGATCGATATCGGTAAACCAGTCGGGATTCTCTTTCCACTCGACAGCAGAAGGGAGAGCGAGTCTGGCCCCTTCAAATTCCGTCAGCGGAAAGTGAAGTGGAAATTCCGTGCGGAAGTGACATTTATTGCATAGCAACCAGTCTATCTCCCCTCTACATTGCTCCAGGCTCGGGGAAGAGGTAGTTTGTTGTCAAAGGGGCTGTTTCGCACGTGCTTATTACTGAGGATGGCGGTAGAAAAAAAAATTGGGTTCCAGTAAATGGTGAAATTTTTCGAAAAAATACGCTGCTGGATTTAGTAAAGAGTATGGAAAAAAGAAATGGGGAATGTTAATGGATATTTTAAACGCAGAAAGAAATGGCCTTTTGAAAACTTCAGGTTTGAAATATAGCACCGCGTACGCGTGTTTAATATTCCTAATGAATTTGAATCAAAAAGAATTTAAATTTTTAGCAACCCATGATTATATCAATAATTTTATTTATTCAGGAATTATACCTATCACGTAGCTACAAATATATTATGTATCGTAGATACCAATAAGCAGTGAGTAAAAATAACAAACTTTTAACAAAAGTAATAGGAAGAAAAATAAAAAAAATTAAATAACTATAGGTTAAATCATAAAACATATTATCTTGCACACACACACACACATGCATATATATATATATAAATTTTAACAAAAATGTATATACGTAAAAAAGCAAATTTAAAGTTAAAATAATGTGCAAACATATAAAAGAATTAATTTTCGAACTAATTTGCAATATCATTTAAATTCATATTGCATAAGTAAAACAAGTGCAAAACCAAAACATGAAAATAAATTCACTAATTTAACAAATTAAAATTAATCTAATTTTTTTTTAAAAAATGCATAAGTGAATGACTGTTGAGCAGGCAGGAGACAGACTTATCAAGGGGAAGTTGCCTCCTAACCTAACTCTTCAATCATTCAATTCGTGTTTCGTCATTCATGCAAGCAAGGGTAAAAGTCAAAACCAAAAGTAATGAAGATGCAGTGAAAGGAAATTGCAATACATATTTCTATTTATACCCTTTTTAAATCGATCCCACCAGTGACCGTGTGGTAAAATCGCTGAACACTGGTAGTTCGGTCCGAGGTCCAAATACTGCGAACGGGTTTGTTGCATTACCAACATATCTCTGATAACCAATATATCTGTCATTACCAACATATTTCTCGTAATTTCCAAAAGCATAAAAATTAAGGCATACAAAACCTTTTTTAAATAAATAACTATATGTATATATAAATGTATTATAAATATATTAATATATGCAGTGAAAGGAAATTGCAGTACATATTGCTATTTATGCCCTTTTCAAGTCGATCCCACTAGTGGCCGAGCGGTAAAATCTCCAAACACTGGTAGTGCGGTCCGAGGTTCGAATCCTGCGAACGGGCTAGACGCATGGGCGTCATTACCAATGTATCTGTCATTACCAATATATCATTGGTAACTTCCAGAAGCATAGAATTTTAAGGCACAGAAAATCTGTTTTAAATATATATATATATATATATATATATTAACAGATGCAGTGAAAGAAATTGCAGTACATATATATTTATACCCTTTTTAAATCGTTCCTACCAGTGGCCGGTAAAATCGCTGAACACTAGAAGTTTGGTCCAAGGTTGGAATCCCGCGAACGGGCTGGTTGCATGGACGTTTTCATGGTTTTCCCCATGTGTTGCGTGTATACGAGCTAGTTTTTCTTAGAATGTCCTCCACGAAGGCAACCCTCACTTTAGGCAGATAGCCCTCGAGGCTTTGCCGTAATTACATAAAACTAAAACTAAGCACTTTTTTTATCTGAATAAATATACACAAAACTGATGTAATATCTAAAAGTAGACCACATTAAAAAATCTGATAACTAAGTATAAATCTTGCATTATAATATTGACAAGAATTTAACCGAAAATTATACAGAAATTTAACTTGTTTTACACAGGAGATTCTAGAAACTATTGGAAATTGACATTGATATCGGTACAGTTAAAACTACTTAAATAAATTTTTTAACTCAAAGCAGTTTAATGTAAATGTTGAATTTAGGATGTGCATAGTTTGAATTATATACTGCATATTCTTTAATTTATGTCTAATGTATTACATTTTTATACACTACAAATTCAAATAAAAGTAGAGGGAAATACATTATGATTTAAAACATAAAATTTCAAAATTTATATATTACTCATCAAAACATGAAATTAAGTACATTGATATATATACATTAGTTTAAAAATTACAATTTTAAATTAAAAGTATACACGCCTTCTTTATATGCGAAATAGGAAAACATGAAATATAATATTTTCACTAAAATTTAATTAAGGCATTGGTAATGTAGAATAAATAAATAATGTAGAATCGTCAGCATCAAATGCGTTATTTCTATAGCGAAATACTCGAGTTTTTCACAAATCTTAAGAAATTAAAATATCTATTACGTACACTTTCAAAAACAATCCGTGACCTCCGCCGTCCTCAGTTTAGCTCTAAAACGACAGTCAGAAACTTAAGCTGTCCAGCTGACGGAAAAATTTCCGACGCGTCGATCTCTGTAATGATCGAGACGATGACACCAGACTCGCTCTCTGTCGACTAGATCGCAAAAAGCGACCCGTTCTTCAATCTCGACGGTGTCCAGACAAGGGCCCCTGAACACCGGTCGAGATCGATATCGGAAAACCAGTCGGTATTCTCTTTCCACTCGACAGCAGAAGGCAGAGCGAGTCTGACCCCTTCAAATTCCCTCGGCGGAAAATGACGTGGAAATTCCGTGCGGAAATGACGTTTATTGTATAGCAACCAGTATTTTAACACTTTGTTAAAAGAAAAAAAAATTTAGTTCATAAATTGTGTTATTCTTAAGCATTTTCTTTTAACAACGTGTTTCTGGGAAAAGGATAGGTTCCCCTCAAGTATTTTAACGGCTTTTTATAGGTTTTAAATTACTTAGTTATTTAAGATTATTTTATAAAAATTTAGAGCTCAGGGCGCTAATTTTGACTTATTAGTTCTTTCGTAATTTAAAAAAAAAGCACTTTTGACTACTTTATTATTTTCTTGAAATAATTGTTATAAATATATTAACATATGCAGTGAAAGAAATTGCAGTACATATACCTATTTTTACTCTTCTTTATATTCATCTTACCAGCGGCCGAGTTGTAAAATCGCTGAACTCTGGTAGTTCGATTCATGGGCGCCATTACCAGTATATCTGTCCTTACCAACATATCTCTGGTAACGTCCAGAAGCATAAAAGTTTAAAGCACATAAAAACCTGCTTTAAATATATAAATAACTATAACTACATATATATATGTTGTATGATCTTAAATTCATTTAGTGCGAAAACAAGTTACTACTACTTGCGCAATTGCTGCAAAGTAAGTATAATAATTTATTTACTAAATAATATTGATTAATTGATTATATTATCTCCTAAGTTTAATTAAAGTAGAATTATCTTAAAAGAGTGAATCCATACTAGTAAGTTATATTTTGAAAGAGGTTTTGAAGTAACTTGAAAGTAAAATGTTAATAATGTTTTAACGGGGACTGGAATTAAATCATCATGAAGAACAAAATTTCAATTGTAAAAGGAATGAATTAAAGGCAAGAATTTAATTAAATGCAAGTAATCACTGTCATTGATCGGAAATTAGTTGACTTTTCAAGGGGAGCAAACCAACTCCCGTTCAATGAACATTAATTAATAAATAAATACGAAGGTGTTCGTCTTTACTCGAGCATTAAAGGCTAAGCCAAACCGGCAATTCAAGTCAGGCCAAATATTTCCGTGAATAGAAGGGATTATGAACACACACACACACATATATATAACTGTATTATATTAACATATGGAGTGAAAGCAATTGCAGTACATATTCCTATTTATACCCATTTTTTAAAGGCATCCACCTGCGGCCGCGCAGTAAAATCGCTGAACACTTGTAGTTCGGTCCGAGGTTAGAATCCCGTGAACCGGCTGGCTGCATGGGCGTTTTCGTGGTTTTCTCCTTGTACAAAGTTTATACGAGCTAGTTTCTCTTAGAAAGTCCTCCACGAAGGCAACCCTTACCTTAAGCAGATAGCCCTCGAGGCTTTGCCGTAATCACATAAAAACAAAACCAATCACATTTTAAATGTGAATAGAAAATATACAAAACTGATGTAATATCTAAAAGCAGACCGCATAAAAAATCTGATAACTAATTATAAATCATGCTTTTAAGTATTTACAGGAATTTTATTTAACTGAAAATTATACAGGAATTTAATTTGAATTATACAGGAGATTCTAAAAACTACTGCGAGTTGACACAAATATCCGTACAATTAAAATTACTTAAATAATTTTTTTTAACTCAAAACAATTTAATATGAATGTTGAATTTACGATGTGCATAATTTTAATATATACGGCATATTCTTTAATGCATTTGTTAATGTATTACATTTTTATGCACTACAAATTAAAATAAAAAAGGAGGGAAATACATTATAATTAAAAATATAAAATTTATAAATTTATAAATTACTCATCAAAACATGAAATAAAGTACATTAATATAGATATTTGT